TCTGTAGAGTCATTAGGTTATTTTTTAAAGCAGAAGTGAGGAAAAATATGCAACGCCTTCGCCGGGAATCGAACCGCGGACCTCTCAATTACGAGCTGAGCGTGCAAACCAATACACCACGAAGGCTCGCTAAGAATGCGGGAGAAATACCTTATAGCTTTGTACAGGGCTGCTAGGCAAAACCATCTTCAATTTGGTTTCAAAGGACTTTCGGTGGATCAGCTGTACAGCCTTAAAATATTCAGAGACAGCAGTATTGCAAGAAGCAAGTACACAGCGCTAAGCTCGCTTGATCTCAAAGAGGCTTTTGACGCCTTTTGGTAGCCAGATATACTTGCCTCATTGGACCACCTGGGAGTTAGTAATGACGTCTTTCGAATAACTGGCAGCTATCTGTCACTCCGAACATTAAAAGTTACCACAGAGAGAGTCATCTTCACAAGACACAGAACAAAATGCTGCCCACAAGAATCGTGCCTTGCTCAGATTTTGCGGAACGTCCTAGTGTATTCGGAGCTTAATCTATTGAACAGTCACAATCGGAATATACACTCAGACGATATCTTGATAATAATAGGAGCGAGTGCCAGGCAAAGATTAAAAACCAGGGCAAATCAAGCGTTAGACTGTCTCCCGAACTGGTGCTCCCAGCATACGCTTACGCTCCAACACGAAGAAACGGTTGGCAGGAGTTACTGAAAATCCCAAAACGCTAATCGGGCTTCCAGCTTCCAGAATTAAAGAGCACTAAGTCAAGATAAGCAAAACATTAAAATATCTTCACATTATTTTAGACGATATATTCAACTGGATTACGCATATAGAATACCTGAACGATAACACATCTCTGCAGTACAACAGTCTTTTTCAAATGACAGGGAAAACGTAGGGCATCTCCTCAGTGTTTCTAAAAATGTACTATCCCACGGTGACAGCGACAAAAGTCTGCCATGGAGTATCAGCTTGGTGTATCATGTTAAGTGCGCATAGCGTAAGGAAATTTCTCAGCTTGCAAAGGCGAATAGCCCTCTTAATCACTACTGCAAACAGGACTTGCGTTGAAAAATTCACTACTCAATCTTGCAGACCTCAAACCACTGTATTTGGTAGGCAATAAAGGAGCTTAGGAAAAAAAAGTCTTAAGTGCAAGAGTAGACATCATCACTCACGATGCCACATACCTGAACAACTGACTATGAGATGAGAGCACCACAGGCAGAAACTCATAATGGACGATATAACTACGAGGCCTTTATAAGTAATATAGTGAAAAGGACAGCTGAACTTGAAATACATACTGATAGTTCAAAAACTGAGGACGGTCCAGCCTTCTGCACAAAGATGTGATCTATTTTTCAATTGACAAGTAGATTGAGAAACCCAATTTTGTATATTAGGCAGATTTATTTGCAGTTCCCAAAGCAGTTAAGCAGTCTTTAAGAACTTTAGAACTATTTTACGCACAGACAGCATGTCTAATATTGAAGATCTAAGTAATGGCGCCTCTAAACGTGAACCTGTATGTTATTAGGGAAGTTCTACTCAATAGCGATAGTCCCGTGAAACTGCAGTGAATCAAAGCCCGCGTAAGACACAAGGGAAATGAAAAAGTGGACATACTGGCTAAGTTAGGAACAATATGCAAGTTCCCGGTTTGCGGGATATATTTCCAACTCAGAGTCACCACTGAAAAGAAAACTCGAGATAAATACGAAAAACGGCTGGCAAAGGTAATGCGATACAGAGGCAAGGGAGCCTATCACCCATGACTATTTTCCACTAATCTCGTCAGTCCTAAAATCAGAAAGCTCCATTCTGGCTCAGCTCTACTCTGAACGCTGCCCTAAACTAGCTTGTCTACATAGATTCGGTTTTAGGGACTTGGACCAGTTCTCCTGCGGTAAAGTAAGCAACTTGAGATATTAATTACATGAATGCACTCTAACATAGGGCATTCATCTCTCAGAACCATCTGAAAATAATCTTCAGAGCTGGATTGCTCTATTAAAGGGAAATGAAAAAGTCTAAAGAAAGCTCTTAGGTTATCCTATATATTAATGTTAATATTAATAATATTTATGCTTTTAGAATAGTCTTCCTCCATACTCAGAACTGTCTAGTATCACATAAAGTTTAATCTGTAGCGCGCACATTTTCTTCACGTTGTCTAAACCATTATTTTGTAAACAGTAAATAAATATTTCTATGAATTATAATTTTGACACTTACCTATATTCCGTAAAAGTTTCTATAACATCTGGCACAGTATGCGAGTCTATGAAACTGATTTAAATAATCCTATAATTTATGCAGTGGAACTTTTAAGCTTATGATATACGGTTCACTTGTAGCAACACAGGATTCCAATGTATTTCCTTCAAGGACCTTGTATGCCCATGTACTTCAATAAAAATTGCTCAAATTATATCTCTTGTCCTCTAGGGCCTTGGCCGTGGTGCATAGATAGTAGATGTTCGTCTTCCAAAAGACACACAATAACAGCTTAAGCATAATAGCAGGTCTGCTGTTCTCATAAGTGCAGACAGAGAGTTCATCAGAGAAGACAGAGAGTTCTCAGGAGTGCAGACAGAGAGTTCATCTTAATTAGTAATCGGTAGGAAATTATTAGCTGAAAGACTGGATTCATAATGTTTCTTAAGTTGACTGGCTTTGAACTGCGACTGTGTTACTTGATGTAAAAGATACACTGGTTTCCCATTTATCCCCACAAAAACAAATTTTTCTTCCCGCTCTGCTTTAAATCTTTTGTTCTCTTATTCATATTTGCGTTTTCCAGGAAGCATGATTACTTGCTTTAGATGGGAACTAAAAGAAAAGTAAAAAATAAAAATTTTAAAAAAAATTCTTTTTTCACACAAGTTAACTCATGGAAGTACTATTAATTCACGCCTAGTAATCTTCATAATCTGCTGTAGGCAAACCGGAATGAAGTTTTATAATTCTCAGCAGAGTTCTGAAAATTATAATAAGGAACGTGGGAAGAAAGTCGAAGTTTAAAACGCAATGGCAGATGGTCTGCAGGGAAGTCATATGGTTTGGTCATGTAAATCAAGAGATAAATGCTTTACATGCAAAATAACATTCCAGCCTGACATGTGACGCTAATTACATAGACAGCAGCGTAGAATTGATGGATGATAAACAGATGTCGAAAACTGTTATGAATTCTATTAATGAGGTCTTCCTAGAAAGGTTCGCTCTTACACACAGTTCCAGCAAATATTAAAAACAACGGTAAACAATCCATTTTTGGAATACGCGTATTATTCGACCGTGGATCGCAAAATGTTTCATCAAGAGAAGCGTTTCCGAAAGAATGCAGTTGTCGATTATTAGGCAGTGAGTTGGTGACAATTTATGCATTCGATCAGGATAAACCACAAACAGGAAAAAAAAAAAAAAAAAAAAAAAAAAAAAAAAACACCAATTTCGTTTCGACTCCTCCATTAAATACGAGAATAAAATTAATATAGAATATTTAGAAACAAAATTAGTAGCGCTATAATGCCAATACCCAATAAAAAGATTGCACATTTATTTATAAACAGAATTACAATTAATATTCGCACTTCATTTTAATAACAGAATTGAAGAACATTCATTACTTCTTCGGTCAGATATGTATTTGAAGACTGTAATAGGAAGAGACTGCAGAATTTCTAAATCATTAGTAGCTGTAAAAATTAGACTGAGGTGGTCTGTGAGCGGAACAGAAAACGCATGTAATGCATCAGAAACATTTAATATAATACAGAATTTATACAATTTAAAAATAATTTAGAAGTTTATTCGACATCGGAATGTATGAGAAATTTATGGCAGTTGCAAGCTTTGGGACTTTCTAATAAATCTGATGACATTCAAAGCTTAGTAGACAAGGTTACTTGTAGAAAATTTACACCGCTTATTTGCTGTGGAACGAGCATTCAGGGGGATTACGGGAAAATTTTTGAGGTAGCGAAAAAACAGTTTGAGTCGCTGCAGCGCAGATGTAGGAAGAATCCGAAATTTCACAAATATTGAAAAGTTGTGATAGATCAACATTTACAAGAAACTATCGCGGTAGAACCGGAATATTTAAAAACTGACACCAAGCTGCAATTAGAGAAAATAAAGGTACCACAAAATTTCGCGTTGTGTTTGCCGCATCATCACATGCTGAACGCAAAGTGTCACTGGATGATTATTCAGAATCACATGTTTCTCTCCACCTAAAACCTGCTTCGCTACTTTTAAAATAATCCAAATGTGGACTTGTGGCTTTTGGAAAATCTACTTGCAGCTGTTGAACTTTATTAAATTCCAACATGCGGCACACACTGATGTTAAGTTTGGCCACTCCTGCTATAAACTATATGTATGTTAAAATAGTAAAACATTTAAATAATCATCTGCCAACAAATGGCAATCCTATATATGCTTAGAGAATGCTTTTTGGGAATTGGAAACGACAGGCATGGAATTCTAAAGATTTTAATAATCAGTTGTATTTGTATCTGTTGCATGTTATGCATAATAATATATTTGTGTTATATTAAGTGTTTGTTTATTGTTAATTAAGTGTTCAATTGTGTTATATTAAGTGTTCAATTATTATAGTAATTCAAGTACACGTAGTTCCCGCATGTATTACATATGCAGTACATAATAAAATTACAAATAAAAGTATGATTGAAAATATTTGTAATCATTGCAAAGTAAGTGTACGTGTAACTGGTTCGACCATCGAACTCCTGGACTTGTTCATATAATTTTTGAAAAGCTATGAATTTTCAATTAAAACCTTTCTCCAGATTTCAGCTGCTCACATTATGAATTTTTTAAATCACACTCGGTGCTCATATTAAGTTACCGCATATTCATGTCAAGTACGTATTTGTTTTGTTTGTGTTTGTTTCAAATTTGAATGATTTGTTTGCACAGACTTAAAAATTTGAGCATGATTTCTAAATACGAACATTTACAGTTGGGACACTATGTAAGTACAATAAATAAAATAATATTTATTTAAAATAATTTTTTAACATTAATCCTCGAATAATAAGTATTGCTTCAATACAACTGGGAGAGGTAAACCATGAACAGCGACAATAAATTGTGGTCCCCATCCTAAAATATTTCTTATACATATACGAGATGAATGTTTCAGAGAAAACGGAACCAATGCTCTTTGCAGTAAAACTAACTTGTGTCTGTTGCTTAGAAGAACAGATCGGTCGATTAAACTGATGCAAAACGCTTCAGCTGCAGATGCTATTAACTCTAAAATTTGGTCGCTTTCTCGGCAATCGATGTGATGTATTGATTGCAATATTCCAAGAGGGTGTTGGCGCTGGCCCAATAAAATAACTCTTGCACCATATTTCAAAAGCATTCTAACTATATTTATATCTGGACGACTTATTGCAGCAAAATATTCTCCAAGTGGAGGCTTTAATATTGGTCCACGACTTGTCATAAGAATGGCATTTGGATTTGCTCCATTTTCCAAAAGAAATTTCACAATAGAGACCTGTAAAAATATAAATTTCATAAATCATCAAGTATTGTAAATGAAGCTTTTCAGGTGGTATAACTAATTTAAAACCAAGCACTATATCATATCAAATTAATGGTGTCTAAAACACATTGTTTCATGCACAAATTTAAACACTAATGTAGAATAAGCAAGCAATTTAGTTATACAACAAATCTACTAGCTAATGTAGTTGATGCAAGAATGAATTCCAATTTTTCTCAGCTAAAAATCATAAATTTTCAGGCAATAAAGTCTCTCGCTTCCTAAAAAGACTGCTGACAAATGTGGCAGAAAGGTTGAGGGAGCAGAACTGGCATGAAAAACAAGGAGAAACAGCAGTAATTGTTCTTTTTTTAAATAGTTATTGAAAACTCCAAAAACAGCAAAGTAACGCTTTACAGCTATTTGAAATTAATCCTGACGACAAAATTTGAAATCAATCAAAGCCTCCAGGCGACATCAGAAGCGGGAACAGAAGCATTTTATACTCTTATAAGACAAATCGTAAAGTGCCTGGTGGACTGTTTTACTGTTTTTCTCGGCTTCCCTTCATTGTCATAAGCAATCTTATTAGCAATCCTTTCAACCTCTTCCCGTGCACCATAGCCAAAAAGATTGCAGTGAAGTAATTTGGAGGACACATATCAGGGATCAGCTGGTCAAAAATATTCTGAGTTTTCTTAGCAATGTGTATGGCGAAGAGTCTTGTTTAAATACATATGGCCTTCTTGATTTAAATATGTATGGTTAACTTCTTCAACCCAGAGCTTAATTACGGTCACCAGAATGTTTTGTTTCACATGTTTTATTTACTCACAATTATTATGAATGAACTGCTGCACTTTTGAAATGAAATTGTTACACCTTACCGTGTTCTGCTCAATCTTGTGTCTTTATGGCTGCCACAGCCTCTACATCAAAGTCTGACTCAGCTATCTGTTTTCTAATTCTCCTAAACGTTATTTCCTTCTCTCTGTCTCTCACTAGCGAATTCAACTTATCTAAGACGTTATTGATTGTCATCATGGCGCACATGGAGTAGATTATCATCTTCCATCTCCGTTCATCAAGCCCCTCCTAAACGTCCAATCTGTTTCGGGGTGTATTCTTTGAAATCTTATTGATAATCGAGAACCTGGAATAAAAAACGGGGATCAAGAAAAACTATACATAGTTAATAGTTTCTCTTGTTCACATTGATCCCACATTCTACTCGCGCACCCTGTATATCGAGAGCACGAGTAATACTGAAAATGCGATAATCCAGCTGGTGCATCTTTGCCATGCGTGCCGTCTAAAAAGATATGAGTGAGTAGTAAGTCATTCAGCATATTCTAAAGTTCATGGCATTGTTTCTCTTCGATGCTCTTTACCGTTAACTTTTCTTTATTTATAGTTGGGTATTTATAGAATGCTTTCAATCGTATATCTATCTCTTAAGTGTTTTGGAATCCTAGTTAAAATGTTGATAATATACATAAGATAAAAATAAGAAAAAATGGATAATCAAAGTAATTTTGTAATATTGTAAACTGGATATAATAGGTTTACTAGCATAAATTAAGAACAGAAACACTGTTGTACATGAATTTAGTAATGGAGCCTGTATTATTTAGGATACTATAAAACGGAAAAAATGAAACTAAAAATTTATGTCTGCTACCTCTGACATTTGGCAAATGTCAGAAAGAACCCAAATATGTGCTATGTGAGAAGCTTCGTAAACAACCACTATATTTGACTATTATTTATCAAATTTGTCTTTTTTCCCATCTTCTACTAGAATCTTCTATTAGTCTGTTTTATGAAACAAATTTTGAGAAGTTGAACTTCCTAATGGTATTAAGTGTCTTCTTCTCATTGGCAAGTGTGTAAGGATTATGTTAATTTTATTAACAGTTAAATTTTAAGTTAAAGTTCCTTTCCTGTCAAATTTTTAACTTCAACTTACTACTTCCGGCCAGAACGTAGTTTTGGAATTTGCTGAATATTTAATGAGAAGGAGCGGTATTTAAACCACGAAGTTACTTACCGAGACAGAGAGAGAGAAACAGAGTTTCTGAACTACGTGCGTCTGCCTTTTGGCCTCTCTCTCTCAAAGCTGTTATACGCTCGGCCGTACTCAGGCCCTTGCTACGCTTCGTAGTAAAATAGGTTAAGGGGCCAACTCTCATTGCACCTTGATAGCTTTGGCTATACTTAGTTAGTTAATCTTAGTTTTAGTTTAATTCTTAGTCTTTTAAGTTCAAGGTCCAAAGTGCGGACTTTATTTGTTCACTCCCAGGTGGAGTCTTGTTAAATCTTATAGAAATAATAAAGGGTTATTTAACCTTCTCTCTTGTTGTTTCCTGTCTTCGAGCTCTAGCGATTATTCGCTTATCAGTTCCTAGGTTCCTCACTTCCAACATTAACTTAGAATTTCAAGCGAGGGACTTTACAATTGGCGCCCGAAAAGAATTCTAAACGGACCATGTCGTTAGAAACCGGGAAGTTTACGTTGACCCCTCTGACCTTTCAGGTCCCTACAACATCCACGAATCCAGTAGAAGGGTTTGGATTCCTCGTGGAAACGCTGCATGCAGCCATCAAACCGACAGCCACTTTCGATGGCAAGGGCTCAGTCCTGACATTTTTGGAGCAACTAGACCTACATTTCACCTTACACCCTGTGAATCAGCTACAAAAAGTGATCATCGCTACGACAGCCTTAAAAGGTCAAGCCCTTAGCTGGCAGAAGAGTATAGGAAAGTTCTTGTTGGGGGACCCAGGATCTGAATCATATAACTGGGAAAATTTCAAATCTGCATTAATAAAAGCATTTCCAGTGGTTAAAGATCGTGCGAAGCTTGAATCAGAAATTGTATAGTAAATACCAAGGCGGTTTCGAGGATTTGACAGAGTTCATTTTAAGAAAAGTACATATTTTTTAATCTTATTATACGGGAAAAGGCCCGATAAAGAAATTATCGAACTAATTCTACCGCGTCTTCTACCGTCAGCGCAAGATTTTCTCGAAGTGCGTAATCCGCAAACGTTTGGAAATTCTGTTCCAGCTTGCAATGAAATTTCAAAGTAGAAGAAACGCAGAGAAAGCGCGTGCAAGTCCGTTTGGCCAGTACTCAAGATTTACTCCCCAAAAGAAACCACAAGTTCAGTACAAGGCATATCGGCAGACGGGAAAAAGTGAAAAGTTTAATAGCAAGAGCGCAGATAAATCTAAGGGCGGTGGATATAAAAATCAGCGAAAAGAGGCGGCAGGTAACCAGACTTTAAACGCAAACCGGTGATCGAGAAGGGGCAACGGTCACCGAGTAGGACAGAAGACCCCTCAGAAATTTGTCTTAAATACAGTCGTAGTACACAAATCTTGCTATGCCGGAGATACAGATTTTGGTAAATAATGTACCAACCACTGCACTCCTGGACACAGGGGCACAATGTTCATTCCTATCGGAAATTTTTTTCAAAAAACATTTTCGTCGTTACAGACTGTTTAAAGCCACGGGACAGAAAGTAATTGCCGCCCAAGGCAAACAGTGCGTATGTTTGGGGAAAACCGCACTGCATGTTCAGATTAAAAACGAGGTCCTAAAAATTAATTTTTTAGTCGTGAAAAATTTACTCACATCAGTGATATTGGGGATCGATTTTTTACGCGCATCCGGCGCAAATCTTAATTTTCAGAATTCTACGTTTCAGGTGCACATGGACCCGGTACAAGAAGGTGAAGTTTCCATGCCGGAATTGAATCTGGAACATTTGAAGTTAGAAGAGAAAAAGAAGATTGAAGAATTGGTAAGAAAATTTAATTCTTTGTTTAACGAAAAACCTGGGTTTTGTCAGGTAGTTAGTCATTCCATAGACACTGGGAATGCCCCTCCAGTCCGGTCAAAACCTTACCGATACGATAAAGTAAAAGAAGAAATTTTGGAAACCCATATAAAAACTATGTTAAAGAATAAAATAATTGTACCAAGCACGAGCCCTTACGCAAGTCCGGTGGTCCTTTGTAGAAAAAAAAAACGGGCTACCGCCTGAACACCCGGACGCGTATAGGTTTGCAGTTGATTATCGTAAGTTAAACAGTATAACAAAATATCCCACATATCCCCTACCAATAATTGATGAAATCATCAGAAACATTCGCTCGACTAAATTCATGACAACCCTAGACCTCACGTCGGGTTACTTTCAAATAGCCGTGAAGCCGGAGGATGTCCAGAAGACCGCGTTTATAACAAAGTCAGGCGTCTATGCCTTTTTAAGAATGCCCTTTGGTTTGAGCGGAGCGCCAGCTACGTTCCAAAAAGCTATGGACATAGTCTTAAAGCCAGTTTTAGGTAAAATAAAAGTACAATAATTTATCTTGACGATATCATAGTTACCAGCGAAACATTAGAGGAACATTTGAAACATTTGGAAGAAGTTTTTTGCCTTACTTAACGAGGCCGGTTTCAAAATAAATGCAAGAAAATGCAAGTTTGCGGCGAAGGAATTACGATACCTCGGGTACAAAAATCTCGAATAAGGGAATAGAGACTGATGATTCAAAAATTAAGTCAATTAAAAGTTATCCTCCCCCAAATACGGCTAAGAAATTGTCTTCATTTTTGGGCTTATGTTCCTATTATAGAATGTTTATAAAAGACTTTGCGAAAATAGTTGAGCCTCTTCTAGTGCTAAAAAGAAAGAAAAGTAGATTTTCTTGGACAGCCGAAGCGAACACCGCGTTTGAACAACTTAAAGAATGCCCTAATCAATGCCCCAGTCCTTAAATTCCCAGAAGGCGAGCAAGGTCTAGAAATTTCAGCGGATGCATCCGATTATGCAGTTGGAGCGGTGCTCTCCCAAAATGGGCAACCTATAGCTTTCTTTTCGAAAACCTTGAATGCTACGCAAAGGAACTATTCCGCTACTGAGCGAGAAACGCTCGCTGTGTTATTAGCAGTTCAGAAGTTTCGGGTCTACTTCGGAAGTTCACCGATAACGGTCTA